AATTGGGGATGTTCTTGTACCTACTTAAATCTTGTTATGGGATTTCGATAAATAATATATTAAAAGAGAATCGAGAGATCTCTTAGAGTTTAAACATACCCAATAAACTTCTTAATAATCCACTGCATAAAGTTTATTCATATCGGTACTCTAGTTTGATACAAGAAACCTAAGTGCTCCTAAGAAAGAGTAAATTTCCTGCTTTAAAATAACAATTTCTCAGGTTTGCAGAAACTACCTTCCCGCTTGTTCTAATAATTGTTGTAGCATCCGATAGAACTACATGCCTAAGTAAGGAACAAAATCAAAGTACATAATCAAATAAAATAATTCCTCCTCCATTCCAGAAACCATGTGTCCCTCGGTTGTTAGCTCATAACAGGGAACTGAAAGTGCTTGGCATGTCTGAATAATAGTTTCTCTAGTTGACAGTCTAATTTACTCCCATTTCCATTCAAGCGAATAGAAATTCAAATCATTCATTCTGCTATCTAGACAAATTAATTAGCTTAAATTAGACCGATCAATTGGACAGTGAAACTGAAAATTTTCCATGTCACAACATGCAAATGTTTTTAATTGGACAGTCTTTAAGTGAATTGATCATGTACCTCCAGATTTGAAATTAGTAACTTCTAACAAGAAACTAATAAAGTAACGAAAAGGCTTCGATTAGCTACATTGTCTATTATTCACTAGTCTCAACAAACAATAATTTTAACATATTTTTTTGCCAAAGAAATGACTATTAAACCAAAAACCTAATTCCAATAATGCAGAAATATTATGTGGCAAATCATCTATGTATTTCACTTGTCCGAATTTAGCGTCTGAAGACAAATTAAGAAGAAAGTTCTCCCTCACCTATTCATCTTTAATAGCAGCATTTTGCTGCTTATCATCCTCCATTTGATCAAAATAGAAAAGCGATGCCAAATAAATTAGGACATCTGTGATGATAAGGCCCACCACGTCGAAAACAAACTTTGGTGCAAATAGTCCCCAAACCTGCAAGAGTATAAAATAGTTTGTATCAGAATAATATCATTGAATTTTGTAAAACTGTATATAAGAGACAATTAGTTTAAATTATGACAGAAATCAAATAAAGGCTGAAGTGAGAATAATGAAGGAAAGGAATCGATTTAATTGTAAATCAAAAATGAAAATTACGATTTTAATCCTACATATGAAAAAAATGAGGTTAGTGAATAGATAGGAATTAAATACTAGGGTAGCAAGTAAGCCAATGTTACCATTAGATGCCTTCTTTGAATAGTGACACATAGAATGGTGGCAGTTACAGCCGTGGAGATAATGAGACCGTGTGCCAGATATATCTAAAACAAAAGTGAGCACCAATTAGCATTTGCTATTACTATACAACACAGAACAACATACCTAATTCCTTGGTAAAACTTACTTGAAACAACCGCATAAAAACTAAACGCTTCTGTTGATCAGTTTGACCCGGTAAATCTTGGCACACGACAAGAAATGGAAGTCCAAATACCGGAAGGATGTGAGAAAAGCCAAATGTCTCAATCGCAAGAATAATTGCTTGGCGAAGAAGAACAAATTCGTCAATCTAAAAATCATTTAAAGATCAAAAATCATTCATCTGCCAACCACTTCTTTCAACTAAAGTAACTTTCTATTATTGTTAATTAAAAATAAGATTTATGGTAAACTTATAAAGCATTTACTTGAAGTTAGTGTTAAAAAAGTATAAAATTATTTGAAAAGACGCATAAAAATAAAAGACAATTTTACTCTTTAAACATGATAATAATTTTTAAATAAAAAATAATTATTATGTAAAAATTAATAAAATATAATAATAGAAACAATAATATATAAACATAAATGTGTACTGGCTGACCACAAGATTGCACAATCGATCAAAGTCACGAGCAAGGGTAGTCAACGCTAGGTCGTTTTGTGCACGAGGCAACACAATAAGGCCTTTGCCTACCTTATGACTAGCCCTATGACTAAACCTAGCCAGTAATGCCATATGGCTTGATTGGGTAGTCCCTCACCAAATTTAGCTAGCTTTTCAAAATGAGTAGACAAGTGAGAGTGTTTATTAAGGCCCTGCTGCCCAGTCCTGGCTCAGGCCTTTGGACAGTCTCTTCCAGGCCTAGACTAGTCAGATAATGGTCCACACAATGCATTAGAATTGACCTACTTCAATACCCGTCATGGCAGTTTCTGGAAAAAAAAATATCATGACAGAGATATGGTTATGCAGCTACTTGGAGAGAAGCATATTCGTGATGATTAACAAATGCAATGCATGCTAATGCCCACGACTTACCCAACAAATGCAGCGCCATATCGAAGACCATCAAAAGCACACCTGAACATAAAGTCAATACAGGCTTCAGAGGTACTACTGGAAAATACAAACCTGAAAGAAAATCATTATGAGCAGCTTACCAGTGACCAGTGGCAAAAAACATACACACGGCTAAAAGGCTCCATTGTGTCACAGAAAGATGATCCAAAGTAAAGGATCGAGGAGCTCCATCCATTCTGATCTGTTCTATAGCTTCCAGCCTCATTATGCAATAACCTGATAGATGCTCAAACATCACATATTAAATGTATGTATAAAAATTAAGAGGTAAAAAAATTTATGCAGTGAGAGTGAATAGTAAGGAGACACACCCCCAATTACTGATGCTAATGCAATCAATGGACCTTGTTTTCCTGACAAAATAATGATTGTTGTACTGCATGCAGATAACAAGCCAACTGTTTTAATAACCAAGGTTGTCTGGCAATTCAAAGTTTTTCCCTTGTAGAAGGCTTGTGCGAAGACTAATAGCAAAAGTTGACCAAATCCAAAAGCATAAATTGTTTGAGGGATGAAATTCCTTCCAATTCCTTGAACTAAAAGACCTAGACTGAACATATTACTTTCTGAGGACCATTGCACTGCGATGAGGAGATGGTTCAATATACTTCCAATGATAATATATTTCCAGATTTTCTCTGCTGAGCTTCTAGCAATGACCATGTACAGCATGTAAACCAATATGACTAAAGATAGCAGTGGCACAATTTCAACCAAATGCTTCCATAATGGATGGCCTGGAGCTATTGCAAGCATCCATGAAGCAGAACTGCTCATAAATTGAGAAGTGGCTGCCTGCTTTGACAGTCCAATTTCTATGGAAATTCTGAGAATGAAGACTAATGTTATGAAAGTAACTGCCTGCAAGTAAATTTTCCAGATTGAAAATTTTAAAGCAACTCATTAGGATCAGATTCATATATATAAGAATAAGATATTCACCTATTCATGATAAATAACCCCTACTGCCACTAATACCTACTTCCAGAAGCATCTGCTTTTTCATGATTGAATGTCGTAGTTTGAGAAAACCAGTTGTGGCCAAAAGAAAATTCGCAACTTTCCCTTCTTCCACTGATCAACAAGGATATGAATTTGCCGGAAAAAATCAGTGAGATGTTACAAATAGAAAAAAATACTGAATTAAGAAAATCATGCCCACAACTTACAAATATAGCTATTTGAAAGGAAGCTGCAAGCACGTATCACCAATACAATGTAAGAAAAAATTTGCTCGAAAGAAACCTCAGTGTCTCCAGATCCACAAAGAGGAATACTATACGCCTTATTCACTCTTTTAATTGCACGAAAATGAATATAAAGTGATATTATCATTATCCCGAAACCAGTAGCCATCATCTTTAAATCAAATTCGGTCCATTTCAAGCGTGCTAGTTCAATGACACTCGACAGAAAATTATAATATGCATCGATTTGCCTCTTCAGAGCAGGTAATGATGCATTGCGATCTTCATTCTTATGTAGCAATAGATTCTTAATAGAATGTGACCAGTTCTTCTCAGCTTGAGCATATAAATGTGATATCTGCGACAGATCTTCAGAAGAGAAACCGATGACTGATGAACTTGAATAGATATCTATATATCTTTTCACCTGCAGGAACATAGTTCAGTTTTACTGAAAATAGGGAGAATTTATCAAGAGAAATTTTCAGCCTAAATGTTGGAACAAAGTAAAAAGAAAATCCTTACATAATCTGTGAGAAAAAGCAATTAATTAGAAATAAATATGTGTATATATATTTTTTCCTTTTTTATAAAGATTGTATCCCTAGATTTACACCTATTTAATTAGATGTCTGTTACGGTAGAATATCCCATAAAAAGTGAGATCTCAAAATAATGTTTCTTTTCTATAGCTAGGTTTGCAGTATATAAAATGTGTCACTTTCGTGTATTATTTATCAATAAGAAATCAATTCTTCCATATATTTTCAAAGCTAAAGGACTAAATTTTTCTCTCTTTCTCTTCAAACTGTAACCAGCCAGCCTTTGTAGCCAGGGATCCTCCCTGCCTGCCTTCATCACTGGTCACTCTGCCTCATGTATTATTTATCAATAAGAAATCAATTCTTCCATATAGTATCAAAGCTAAAGGACTACTTTTTTCTCTCTTTCTCTTCAAACTGTAACCAGCCAGCCTTCGTAGCCAGGGATCCTCCCTGCCTGCCTTCATCACTGGTCACTCTGCAGCACCATCCAGCCTTCATCGCCAGCAGTGCATATACCAGCACTGCACAGCCAGCTGTGTGCACAGACCAGCCGTGCACCAGCTGCTCTCCGAGCCTCGCACCTCCATCCAGCTGCACCATGACCAGAAACGGCCTTCATTCCTGGTAGCGTAGACCCATGACCAACCTTCATCACTGGTGATCTTTCTGCTTCACAAAACCACCTAGAAGCTGTTTCCTCTCCGTAGAAGATGTCAGAGGTTACATAATCCAACAATCTAGTCCAACTGGGTGAGATTATTCGGCCTCAACAATCCAAGGAAATTGCAAAACATCCAGGCAACATATAAACTGGATAAAAAAACTATCTTAAATGGTTTAAAATTATTCTTACCGAGTAAAAAGAAAAGGGAAGATCAACCATCTCATATGGATGGGAACGAAATCACAAGATCCTCGGTTGGAACCTTGGGATGAAGAAGATGCCATAACTATGACATGACTATGGAACTCTATGATGCCCGAGATCAGTGACATACATATGTTCTTCATTAATGCCAAGGATATTTGGAACGCACTTCAACAGACTTACCCTAACGCTAGAGGCAGCTCAAGTATACGAGATTAAGACAAAAACGATTGCTGCGAAACAAGGAAATAGAACTCAGTATGTTAATCAATTAAAGATCTTGTGTCAAAAACTTGGCCACTATAGGGTAAACAACCAGATGTTCTGAGGATGCTGCTGTTCTCAAGAAACTGATTGAACACGACAAAGTTACGACTTCCCCTTTAGACATAATTTAGAATTCGACCAAGTAAGAATTCATAATCTAGGTAAGTCTGAAGTTCTGTGTTCTAATGAGGTGATAACACTAACTCAAGGTGAGAAAAGTAGAAGAGATGCCTGATGCTTGAACCACACAACACATACAGCTCCATTATGGTGGCTAGTGGTGGCAAGAACACAACTAATAGAATAAAAATTTTTGACAACGGAAAACTTGGTTAAACAAAAATGCAAAATTGTGATAGCTTGTAGCATACTTACTGCAAGAAAGCACGTCACACTTGGGAACAATGTTGGAAACTTCATGGAGGTGAGGGTGGGGATAAAAAGGAGAACAACAAAGAAATATGGGCAGACCCATGTTACTATGACAGAGGAAGATGACATAATATCACAGGAATCAGGCAGTTTGAATAATGAAGAGATTGAGAGGGTGAAATCTCTTATTAGCAATTGGACAAATTTAGGTACCTGCTCATTGGCATATTCAGGTAAATTTCTATTTTCTATTGGATTAAATGTCTCAGGTACAACCGGAGCCAACTCTTGGGTCATGGACTTAGGAGCTAGTAATCACATGAGCCACTCATCAAAGATTCTTTCCACTTATTCACAATGCCCCAAGTAACAAGAAAATAGCCATAGCTGATGGTTCTTTGATCACTGTAGTAAGAGTAGGAGATGTCAAACTAAGCTCATCTCTGACTCTAAAATATGTCCTTATATTCCAAACCATCCACAGACCTTGTCTCTATTAAAAAACTTACTCGATATTTGCATTGCAATATTGTTTTTCATCATAGCTACTGTGTAGTCAAGATGAGAATTTATGAAAGATAATCGGACATGCTAGAGAAACATGATGGGCTTTACTACCTTAAAGCATCGAGTTAATCAAGTATTCCAAGGGCAAGGTTCCTCACTGTTTATTTCTGACTCTTTTTCATCCAATAAGGAGAAAGGTGTTGTTTCCTTCTTTATTCAAAGGTCTAGATGTTGAACATTTTCATAATGAAGTGTGCAAACTATCTAAATACAAACATGAGTTTGTGTTTAATGAATAACGAATCAAATTTGTTCCTAATGCCATTTATTCTTTCTTTATTCAAATTAAAATACAAACTATCTTAATGTATAGTGATATTTGGGGATCCTCTACTATTCCTAATGTCATAGAGGTAAGTTTGCGTCATTTATTGGTTATTGTACTCATGTCACATGGATTGTTTTGCACAAACATGAGTATGAAGTCAGTACTATCCTTCCAAATTTTTGTTTCATAATTAAGAATCAATTTGGGGTTATTATCAAAAGATTTATGAGGGATAATGCTAAAGACAATTTCAATAAAGTCTTAACCCCATTTTCTCAAAATGAAGGGGTAGTACATGAGTTCTCTTGTGCCAACACTCCACAGCATAATGGAGTGGTGGAAAGAAAAAAATAACCACCTTCTTGAAACCACTAAAGCCATTCTGTTTCAGGAAAACATACTTAAATTATTCTGAGGAAGAATTTGTTCTTACAACCACACATCTTATAAATCATGTACCTTCAAGAGTCATAGGATTGAAGAGCCTAATGGACATTCTCTCCACATACTACCCTAATCTACACATAACAAATCATCTTGTCCCTAGAATATTTAGGTGCGTCTAGTTTGTCATACTTATTATCCTACTTGAGGAAAATTAGATCCAAGGGCGTTCAAGTGTATCTTTGTGGGTTACTCATTGATTTAGAAGGAATATAAGTGTTGCCATCCTCCATAAAAAAAGATTCTGTGTCGGTGGATGTTACTTTCCACAAGCACAAGTCTTATTCTACCATTCATTATCTTCAGGAGGAGAACATCATTAAAGAAAGATAAAGATCTTGTATTTGACTTGCCAGCACTACTTGTTCCTAACCAAGAGCCCTTATCTTGTTCCTCTGTGTCAAACTCCGTGTCTGAAAATTCTCTGTCTGAACTGGTACCCAACACTTCCCAAGAGACAATGGATCTCGCTCTTGAGAATGTGAGATTTGACAAAGAGAAGGGCTTTCAAAGAAGAATGTGACTATGCTGAAATCTGTGCAAGTCCCAAACTCCAACTTAGATAATGTGAGTGAGGTAACAATCTCTAATCCTTATTGCAAGATGAACTGAATCTCATTTGGGCAATAATTAACATGATGTTCCCATTGCAGCTAGGAATGGGATCAAAAGATGCACAAAATGACTCTTATGCCCTTTTCACATTTTTTGTCTATTAAAAAATCTCACCATCTCATAAGGTCTTCCTTGTTAGCTTGAACACTATTGTTATTCCTACTACCTTATCCGAAACTTTATTCAATGAGAAATGGAAACAGACTATGAATGCGGAAATGGAAGCATTTGAAAAAAAAAAACAAAACTTAAGAGTTAGTAAAATTACAGACGGAAACGAAATTGCTAGGTTGTAAACAGGTATATATAGTGAAGTACGGAGCAAATGGAATGATAGAAAGATACAAGACAAGACTGATAGCTAATTGATATACCTAAATTTACATAATAGATTATCTAAAAATATTTGCTTCATTTAGAAAGATGGATACTGTCAGAATATTATTATTTAGGAACTAATTTTCGCTGATTGTAGCAGTTCGATGTTAAGAATGCATTTTTGCATAGAGAATAGAGGAAGAAATTTACATGGACGTCTTGTCAGGTTGTGGAGGCAATTTGGCTACTCTTTATATCTGTGTAAGTGAAGAAGACCTTGTACGGACTTAATCAATCACCACGAGCAGGGTTCGACAAATTTGTAAGAGTTATAATGACCATGAGATATAAGTAGAGCCAACAGGACTATATGTTATTCATTAAATATCATTCTTAGAGAATCACAGTTCTTCTAATATATGTTGATGACATAATAGTAACATGGGACAGTCATAAGGAGAGACAACATCTAAATCAGTGTTTAGCTAAGGAGTTTGAGATCAAAGCACTATGACCATTGAAATATTTTATTAGGATTGAGGTATCTACTCTAACATGGCCTTTTTATCTCCCAGCAGAAGTTTGTTGCTGATTTTCTTCAATAAATAGGCAAGACAGCATGCAAACAAACTAGTATTCTAATAAACCCAAATCTTTAAAAAACCAGAAGAAGATGCAGCAGTAGAGGAGAGAAATGTATCAAAACCTGGTAGTAAGTGTGATCTATCAGTTTATGCATAGTCTTGAAGAAGTTTATTTACAGGTAGCTTACTGAGTGTTGCAATATCTTAAAGGCATACCAGGTAAAGGTACTCTCTTCCAAATGAGTAAAGGTTTAATTCTTGAAGCATATACATATATATATGTATATGCTAATTATGCTGGGTCAATCATTGATTGGAGGTCAACCTTCGGATATTACACCTTTTTTGGTGGTAATCTGGTGACATGAAGGAGTAAAAAATAAAATGTGGTAGCGCAGTTAAGTGGAGAAGCAGAATTTTGGGCAATGACCCAGGATGTGTATGAACTGCTTTAGATAAAGATCATCTTAGAAAATTTGAAAATTAAATGGGATGGTCCAATGAAGCTCTATTGTGATAATAAATCTGCCATTAGTATAATCATAATCCAGCACAACACTATCAAATGAAGCATATTGAAGTTGACAGATACTTCATTAAAGGAAAACTAGAGTGGATTAATTTGTACACTTTATGTGCTCACATTGATGGAAGGAAAACCTTTTCTGCAGTTGGTGAACTATTGACAAGCTAATCTACCAGGTAACAACTTTTCTCAAGCTTAGAAGACGTAAGGTTTTTTGAAACGAAAGCTTAGACGACTTGAGTTAGGAACATTTTATTCATCATTGAATTTAAGAGAGAAGTAGCACATCATCAGCCAACCATCAACATAGTTAGTAACCATCAAAATGTTTATTCAATAAAGTTAGCAACATAATTTTCAAAGTTCATATTAACCAGAATAGGCAGAGAAATTTAACGAAACACAAGTAAATATACCTGCCAAGAATTAATGCAAAGCAGATTCACATAATTCTCCATGCTTTCCTCAAGTGCTGACTGACTTTCCAAACTCCCCACAGTAGTGCTTTCCATTCGACTATCAGCACCCAAAGCATATAGCTCAGGATTGACACGTCCAATGCTGAAAATTTAACAAGGCAAAATACCAACAAAAGGAAAACTATAAGTCATATCATCTGCACCATTTGATGTAAAAATTGTCACACACCTGGAATGCAGGCTAAGAAGCTAATGATATGTGAATAAAAAAAAGAAGCTAAAATTAACATGATGCTTACACGGCACCTTCCAAAGGGAAAGGGGATCCCAAGCAAGGCTGACATTGTTACTGCAAAATCAACCTGATGACGATTCCTAAACAAAATAAGCCTCGCAAAGAGGTAAATAAAGTTACTCAGAATACTAAGACTGTACTAACCTGCTGGATGGAGCTGACACACACCTTCTTCCTGTCCTGAAATTTAAAGCATTGAAAAACAGTAATTTACTTAGAAGAAAACTAATGCTTGTCCCAGGTCACAAGAAATTAGTAATATGCAACATGACAGTTAAATTGCCAATTCTCTTCTGAAGATGAAGGGAAGTCTTAGAGAAAGTAAGAGCATGTGCCAGATATGCAATACTGTTGTTGCTATAGACCTTCAGTTTGCTAACTATTTCTCCATCTACACAATGGAACTTTCTTGTGGTTAAAAGAAAATCCCATTTGTTTCTAGAAGGGAGTACTAAGGATATTGTTATGGTCCCAGATGTGCAGCCAAATCCAAATGCTAAGAAATGCCTTTTGACTAGGTTTACTAGCAGAGAAGAATACTTTTTTTAAAGAGTAAAAAGTAAATTAATTTGGCACCAAATAGATGCAACCTGTATGTAAAACTATTTATATTTCTAACAATATATTAATAAGGTCACCAAGACCCTCACAACCTTCCCTCACAGTGCAAAAAAGGACCTAAATCAATCCCAAAAAGCCGTAAACCAAAGCCCAAAGCCAGTAAGCAAGTGAGCACCAAGGAGGATATGGTTGCATGTCATCTCGCCAAGCTTGTACAAATAGCATGAATTAACCAGGATTCTCCTCATTCTGTTCAGCTTCTGCAACACGAGAACACTCTCCCTGGTTGCTTCCTACACTGAAAAAGTCACCCTAGGGTATCACCTTCACTTTTCAGATCATGCTTGAGGAAAACTTTTCATCACCTCCCTCCTTCCTCGTCAAGTGCAAGTAAAGAGACTTAACTAAAAGCTGCCAGTTCTTGTTGAGACTCCATACAGGCTCGTTCTCAACTCCTCCTAAAACTAACACCCAAGTAAAGAAGTTAAGAAGATTCAGATATTCACCAATCTCCCAATCATTCAGATTCCTTGTTAAAATAATCAACCATGTGCACACCCCGCTACAAAAGGAATCTTAACAGAAATGTTCTTATGCTGTGCAATAGTATAGAGAGAAGGGAACTGCATGAAAAAGACCTCCCTTCCATCCTTCTCGTCTTTCCAGAACCTCACCCCATCCCCCGGCCCAACTCTCCATTTGATACAATTCTGAAAGGTCTCTTTTGCTGAGTGAATCTTCTTCCACAAGCCCACACTGTGCGCCAATTGAGATTAGTGACAAACCCCGAGAGATATCTAAACTAAAGTTTGGCACTATCACCTTTCTCCAGGATTCTCCCTTTCCACCATATACCTCCAGAGTCATTTGCTTCGAAATGCAGCATTAAATTCAACCAATGAGCTCACCCCCTCTCTCCTCCAGAATCGGATGTTTCACTACATCCCAGGCCACAAGCTGATACCTCCTTTCCTCTGAATCACCCAAAAAGAATCTATGTTATACCACCTCTAACCTCCTTGTCACACTTACAGGGATGATGGCCAAAGACATGAAATAGATTGGAATATTGACCATGACACTTTTAATAAGAGTCAGCCTCCTTCCCTTAGAAAGTAGTCTCCTCTTCTTCTCAAAAAGCCTAGACCCAAATCTACTCACTACTGGATCCCACACTGAGACTTTCTTGAATTTAGCACCAAGAGGAAGACTTGGGTATTTCATTGGAAGATTCCCACTTTTCCACCCCAAAATGATAGCAAATTTTCGTCCCCCCTATTACCAGCAGCATTTAAGAATAATAATAAAAGGATGTTACTTATGTTATGTCTAAATCTTACGATATTGTGTTAGTAATTTGCTGTCTATTATGGTTCAATGAAAATGTCTGTTAGTTTGCTGTTCTCCTATGATGGTTCACTGCCATATATCAGTCATGGTAGTGCATGCGGCTGGGCCAGGGTACGAGGCTGCAGAGAGCAATGACTGGAATTTGCGTGACTGAGTAGTCGTGAAGCTGAAAACGATGCGCGGGTGGACAGGATGGGCATATGGCTGCAAGGAGCAGCAGCTAGAGTGCAGCTGGGAGTAGCATTTGTGGTGTTTGACAGCAAGAGTGGCTGCTGGAGCAGTGGCTGGGAGGTTGGTTGCACAAATCAGACGGGCTGCAGCTGCTATTTTCCCGACTATGAAGGCTGGTAGCTGCAGTGTTGGTGGCTAGCTATGGAGGCTGGCCCCATTAAAGTTTTTTGGGTTTTTCTTGTTTTGGCGATTAGGGGCTATTAGAGAGTTTGTAAAAAGTTTTTCTTCTTAAAGTTATGATACTATGTGGAGAGTAGAATCAATATTATTAAGAAAAAATGATCCTATATATACATAATTCTTAGTACAGGAAAAGAAACCCTAATATCAATTACATATGGGTATTTTACTATAATACTTTTACAAATTAAAATACACATATATATTACTTTTAATACTAACATAAATTGTGGGCTAAAAAGGAAAAGCTGGAAAGTAGGGGTTGTGGGGTTTGAGAAATTGAACAACACTTTTGTTGGCAGAAAAGGTGATGGGAGTCTCCACTCTAAATTTCTGCATTTGGCAGGGAATGTCTTTATCTGCTATAAGAAATTTTCAAAGGATGAAGTTATATATTTACTGTTTCCCTTATTTTTCAACACTTCTTGGTACTAGTTTCCTCTCTCATCTTTACTACTACCTCCATTAAGTAGAAGATTCTGAAAACTAAAGAACAAACACAATCTTATAGGTGCAAAACAGAAAGGAAATAATTCAAGCAAGAAGCAAGATGTTGAAGATACAGCAACATGCAAGCATGCATTAAATTAAGTGAATCTTATAAAGAATAAAATAAATGAGAGGCCAATACCATATCTAATTCACAAAATGAGGTATCAAATTCTGATGGAATGTGAGAAGGAGGCTTTTTAAAACTCATGGCAAAAATTGATGTCTCAACCTGCACATTGAGATACCAGTTATCACCTACAGAAAATCTTTTAGGATGAAACCAAATTTCTCTAAAGAGTATGCCAAATGCTGCACCTCTTCGTCACTGCCTCCACCATGATCACCATTTAAGGTTTGGCCATGATCGCCCATCACAACAAGAAAAGTATTCTCATGTATGCCGCCTGGTCCAGACTGACTCTCGAGCACTTCAACTACTTTCTGAAGCATAGCATATGAATTTAGTAAGCAATTTGGAAATGGAAAACTTATAACCCAAAAGATTTTTACGTAAGTAGAAATGGGCAGTAAAACCAAGTTAATAATAAACAAAGATTTTTCCTCCTCCAAATGATATTCAAGGTGACCAAACTCTTGAAGTAAAACCAGCAGGAAAATAATTGTAAATAAAAACAGACTGTTTGCTCACTTAAACAAAGAATTGTTTAGCAAACCCAATGAGCATTTATTTCTGTTGAGCAGTATATTTGTATAGTATGGTACATGGTATATTACTATATCCCTCTCATATAATTAAGTGTTTTTCCTTTTATTATTCATATAAACCTTTCTATATAGGATTTTATTATTTAGTAAAATTCATACTTCATTTTTCACATGACATCAAAATTCTAGGTTAAAAAAAACTCTGAACTTTTTTATAAACTCTGTTCAGCTGTCAGTGCTGAAATAAGACACAAAACCTTAAGAGGGTCAGCTTTCGTTGCCGACCACCAACATGCAGCTGCTGGCCAGCAGCACACCAGCTTGTGCGCCAATGTTCCTGCCACCAGCCGCCTGCTCCTGGTCGTCGCACCACCCACCAGCATCTGCCCACGCATAGGTACAGTTCCAACAAACACAAGCCACCAGCTTCACTTCTTAGTGCACAGCCATCCAGCTGTGGTCTTGACACAGTTTTATTTTTTTTAATTGGTCTTAGTTGCCACAAGTTTTTGAAAGATGTCGAAGGTTATGTCTCAATCTACCAGCACACACTTCCCAATGAGAAACTCAGCATAGAACAACAATGAATTTCAGTCAATTCAGGCTGCCTACTGCTTCCATGGCAAAGATTACTTGAGTTTCTCACAACTGATTCAAACCACTCTTAAGGATACAAGAAAGCTAAGTCATCTCCTTAGAACTGGACCAAATACAAGAAATCCCACTTTTGATACTTGGGATAAGGAAGCTTTGATGATTATAATTTGGTTCTGGAACTTTATGCCACCAGAGATTAGTAAACCATTTATGTATCTGCCTAGTGCAAAGGAGATTTGGGATGCAACTTGAAAAAACTATTTTAAAGAAAAAGATACAGCTTAGATATATAACCTAACCATCAAAACCTGCACAACTAAATGGGGCAATAAGACAATCACAAAATATAACCTTCTAAAAGACTTAAAGGAAGAACTTGACCAATACAATAGTATTATTATGAAAAGTAGTGAAAATTCAGCAACTTAAAAAGACTAGTTGAGAAAGATAGAACATACTAATTTATAACAGGACTTAACAAAAGATATGATCAAATGAAGATCCAGATCCTAGGAAAGGAAGAGATAACATTACTGAATGAGGTGATATCCTTAGCACAGAGAAAGGTAGAAGAGATTAAGCTTGAATCTTGCACCAACGTTGGCTCAACAATGGTTAAAACTCCAAACCACGTCAACTCGGGAAGGAACCAAATCAAATGAGACCTTAGCTACCGGCTGAAGAAGGGAAAATCTCTAATAAATCTTCTATACAAAACCAAGGCACACCAGAGAAAAATGTTGCAAGCTTCATGAAAAACCAACCACCTCTAGCAAGGATTAAGGATACAAGAAGTGTGACGGACATGCACATCTAGCCCAGGAGGAGAAGACTACAAAGACCTGAGATTTCAAGGCAGAAATCAAGCGCTTGCAGACCTGACTCAAGCAACTTGAAAAACCTAATAGTATAGGTCTCTTAAAACATTCAGGTGTACTCCCTATTTCACATGGTTTAAATGTTTCAGATAAATCTTTTGCATTGTCATGGATCGTGGATTAAGGAGCTACCGACCACATAATCAATTCTTTTAAATTGTTTAATATTTATATTTCATGTCCAGCCAATAGGAAAATTGCCTCTGGCGATGGTTTACTAACCATATTAGTAGGACTTTGAACTATAAACCCTAATCCTTACCTCACTCTTAGGGATGTTCTCCATGTACATAAATTGCGGTACCGATTTTATAATGGTAATCAAAATATCTCATGACCTTAGTTGCAAAGTGATTTTTTTCCTTCTCTTTGTGAACTTTAAGATTATAACTCAGGGAGGATGATTAGACGTGCTAAGGCTGGTGAGGGATTATATTTCCTAGATACACCTAATGTATCCATTCTTTCTACCAACACGTACCACAAGAGACTAGGACAACCTTTTTTATTCATTCTTAAGATCATGTTTCCCTCTTTATTTTTTCAATGTAATAATAAAAATTTATAGTGCAATGTATTTGAACTGACAAAACACAAACATGTAACTTCTTCCTCTAGTAATAAAAAAAATAATTTTCCTTTTCAATTAATTCTTAGCGATGCTTAAGGTCCCCCTAGTGTTCCTAATACCTCTGGGGCATATGACGTTTCATTTCTTTTATTGATGAATGTACTTGGATCATTGGATTCTCTTATTGGAATTTAAAACTAAACTTAGCCATATAGTTCTCCAATTTCATGCCATGATTAAAACACAATTGAGGATAACAATTAAATGTTTTAGAATAGATATGCTCGATATTACTTTAATCAAACCTTAATATCTTTTTATCAAAATGAATGAATTGTTCACGAGTCTTCTTATATTTATACTTCACAACAAAATGAAGTCACAGAAGACAAAAATAACCACTTGCTTACTACTGCACATGTCTTCTTATTTCAAAACCATGTACCTAAACACTATTGCGGAGAAGCTGTGTTAACTGTCATATATGTTATGAACCAATTATCATCTAGAACACGAGACTTTCAAAGTTCGATGGAAATTCTAACTACATTCTTCCAGAAGTACAAATAACAAATTACCTTATCCCTCGTGCCTTTGGGCATATTACCTATATTCACATATATCAGTCTCAAATAGAGAAACTTGACCCCAAGGCTGTTAAGTGTATCTTTGTGGGACATTCACCAACCCAAAAAGGATACATGTGTTAACATTCAACCACAAAAATATATATATATGTATCGCATGATGATATTTTTGTTGAGATAAGTCATTTTTTACCAACCTTATCTTCAGGAAGAGACTATTAGAAGATAAGGGAGACTTGTTGTTTGACATTCCTCCATCGCTCTTAACCACTATGCCTATATCTAAGACCACCATTCCACTAGAAGATCAGAAGCCACAAAATGAGCCTAAAAATCACAAACCTCACAAGATGAGCCTGAACCACAACCCATACAAGACCCATGTTTTACCCGTTGTACCCAAGAAGGAAAACCTTCCACTCTGGTCCAAAATAGCTTCAAGAATCCGAGCTAAACAATAGAAATGAGGTAAACCTGAGAATTACAGTCTTTCTAATAGTGATATACCTATTCCACTTAGAAAACGAATTAGAGAATGCACTAAACACCACTCTATCCAATTTTTAACTTTGTATCTTTTAAAAACTGTTCTCCAGTTGACCAAAAATTTCTTATGAGTCGGATATAATATCCGCTCTCAAAACATTATATGAGACTTTAACAAGTAAGTGATAAAAAAATATGAGTATTAAAGTGCAGGCACAAAAAACCAAACTTGGAAAGTGGTAGATCTACCTAAGGGAAAAGACCGGTTGGATGAAAATGAGTGTTCATTGTGAAACATAAACTCGATGGAACTAATGAAAGACACAAGGCAAGATCAGTGGATAAAGAATATATCTAGAGCTATGAAATTGACTACCAAAATATTTTTACACCTATTGCAAAGATGAAAACATATCCTGCTACCCTTAACTGCAAGCATCCATTGATAGTTTTAAATAGTTTGAAGTGAAGAATGAGCTTCCTGCATGAATTTTGGGAGAGGAAAGAATAAAATATGCAAACCGAAAAAAGCATAGTATGGACTTAATCAACCTTTCCGAACATAGTTTGGGAGATTTGCCAAAGTGGTCATCCATGGGATACAGAGATTTAGGGAGATCACACGCTTCTGATCAAGCACCCGAAGTCAGGGGGAGTCAATCCTACTAGTGTATGTAAATGATATAATTATTACAAGAAATTATAAAGAAGAAAATGTGACCTTTAAACAGTGTCTGATTAAATAATTTGAAACTAAATAATGCGAAAATTAAAAAATTTCACCAGGATAGAGGCACCCCACTCAAAATCTAGAATATGTATATCTCAGCAAAAATATATTAAAAATCTCTTAATGGAAACTGACAAGCTAGCATGCAAGCCAATCTACCAATGAATCCCAATCACAAATTGAACTTGCAAAGGAAGATCCAAGGTGAACAAGGAAATGTATCAAAGACTAGTAGATAAATTGAGACTAGTAGATACATTGGTATACTTATCATATACAATAGTAGACATTGCATATACAGTAAGTGTAGTGAGTCAATTTATGCAAAATCCTAAAGAAGTACATTTGCAAGTTGCCTATAGGATATTCCACTACTTGAAGGGTACTCTAGAAAAAGAAAATTATATCTAAGAAAAACAATAAGTTACTCCTTAAAACATATATTTGTGCTGACTATGTAGGTTCATTAGTTGACAGAAAGTCTACGTCCGAATACTGCATCTTTCTTGGAGAAAACCTACCGACCTGGAGAAGTATGAAACAAAATGTAGTATCCTTATCTAGTGCTGAGCAAGAATTTAGGGCTATGATCCAATGGGTATGTGAGCTCCTATAAGACCCTAGTGCGATAATAAGTCAATAATTAGCATTACTCACAATCTTGTATAATATGAAAAATCGAAACATATTGAAGTTGATTATTATTTGATCAAAGAAAAGTTGGATAGAAGGTTGGTATGCACATCATACATACCTACTACTTTGCAACTTGTAGCCATATTGACTAAGGAGTTGAGTACCCCTGAATTTCAAACTATTATTGGTAAACTGAGAATGAATAATATCTATTCACCAGCTTGAGGGGGAACGTTGCAAAAGTATGTTTATATAATAAGTAGGATAAATGGTGTTTGAATACCCCTCTCATCAAATAAGTGTGTTTCCTTTTATTGTTCATATAAACTTATATATATAGAGGCCTATTATTTAATAAAATTCATACTTTATTCTCCACAATTTTTTTTTCTTTGTAGAATTAAACAATTATTTTAATAACCTGAAAGGTATGTCTTAGCTGATGGTCCAATGAACTCGGACATAATTAATTCATTCTTATTAAACATAAATATATTATTTTACAGAAAGTTACCTCCAGAACAATATTATATTGCTCCAGTTTTTCTATCATTGGAATGGAATCAACACCAAATATATGCCCAGCATGATCCTGAACAAAGCATGGAAATAGAAACTATTAGTGCCCAATACAAAGGTGTTTCTGTAAGTTTAAATCTGTCAAAGAGCATGGTAGTAAAACATATAAAGAAATTAAAAAAGAAAAAAAAAAGGGTTGAAAATGAAGTCAGAGCATGGTAGTGATATTAGAAATGAGGTCAATCTCTCATATCCAACACTTTGAAGCCTTGCTCCTAATGTCAGATTTGCTTTTCTTTGATAAAATAAGATTCGTTGATACCGAAAGAGGGAAGTACCAGAAATGAGAATCAGAAATCCTCCCAAAAGAATGGAAGAAAAGAAAAAGAAAAAAGGAAAAACAATGGGCACCAATTAACAGAAGTAAAATGAAAATAGCAAAAGAGAAACTTAACTATCATGAATAATGATCTTCCAATTTCATTGAAGATCGTAGATAGAAAACTCCTGATAGTAGTCGTGCCCTTTAGTCCAGAAAGATACCAAAAAGATCTCCTTACCCCGCAAGCCAGCAAAGAGAACACCCTGACGCAAAAGTTTGGCATTCTTCCTCAACCCATTCCCATCAAAAAATGTAGAAAGGAAACTCACTACAGTAGGTGGCAACGCTCATACAATACCAAACATTAAAAAAATCAGTCGAAAAGTTTCCAAGCCACCCACAGTGAAGAAACAAATGTTCATGTACTTCTCCACCATCAAAGCACATAAAATAAGTATCTGAAAAAGAAACTGATAAGGATGACGAATTTGAAGCAAGTCATTTGTATTGAGCTTTTGGTGAATAGCAGCCCAAACAAAGAGCTCACCTTAGAGAGAACATGAACCATCCAAAAGCCCTTGGCAACATGATCCTGGCATGCAGTGGGAGATGTGCTACTGGGAGAGCCTATAACAAGGCCAGAAGATTCTAAGCTCCAACGTCTACCACTCAGCTGTGAGGATGGCATGACAGGAGTCAAAACGTTCAATAGACGGATATGTCTAGAGTCTCCATATCAGAGAGGTTATAAGAGAAGTGGATATTCCATGATATCTCATCCACAGTGTGAGTCAAAAATTGAGAAACTGTGGCTTAGTGTGGAGGAAATGTTGTCTAATATGGGAAACTGGGTGGTTAATGGTTAGTTATCTAACTTGATCCTCTCAAAACCCCAAAGCAGATCCATCTCCAACTTGAAAGTATGTATAGAGAAGAAAAATAGGTTAAGCTTGTGAGATTGCTTTCCAGGGACCGGGGTAAGAGACATCTTTCTGCAGAGACATTCCAAACATCCCTCACGCTTCCATGGATGCTTCTGGTCACCCTATGCAACAAAAATTCTGGTTCCCTTGGGAACCACCAAAGCCATTTGACCAATAATAATAGGTTTTTTTAACCAAAGATTACTTATTCCCAACCTAAATTCTTAGATTTACAACACACCTCCAATTAACTAAATGATCCTTGAAATCCTCAGCTACTTCCGACCAGAGAAATTTTCTCATGTATCTCTCAATCCTATCTACTACCCTAAAATGCTTATTTCCTCCAAAATTCCCGTCTTTTTCACGAAGATATTCCTAAATCCCTCCTTATTTCTCTTTTTGATGATTTCCTTTAGGTTTTCCAATTTGTACAAAAATTTAAAACTTTTTCCAATTACACCCCTCCTCCATCTGCCACCCTCCTGTCACCAAACTTTTGGATCCCAGGTGGTTCACCCGCATATTTTCAAACCTAAAAGGTGTGGGCTCCCAATTGAGATGCTGAGATTCCAGCAGAATAGAGAAATGATCAGAAACAGGTATAAAGAATGTTTCCTGTGACAACCCAAGGAAAGAGTCCTCTCAATTGGTAGATGCCAAAAATCGATGTAACCGAGAGGACACTGTACCATGTCTATCCACTAACCATGTAAATATTGTGTTTCCAAAAAGGCAAATCTCTAAGACAGTTTTCCTCAATAAAAGTGCTAAAGTTGCACATAGATGTAGTCATGTCACTATATCCTCCCACTTTTTTCTAAAGGAAACCGCACGCATTAAAATCCCCACCTAAACACCTAATGGATTACAAAGACTGGCCAAATAGGACATGTCCTCCCAAAAAAAGATATTTTCTATATCTTGTAGGTTCATAAACACTAATAAACCACTAACACCCCTTCTCTATTCTGTAGTAAGACTAATGTCCCAAATGATCATGAACCACCCGAAGCCCCAAGAGACAAGATGATTGCCCAATTCTTTTATCTATAGTCCCAGATACACTGAATGAAATATCTATCCACCTCTTTTTTTTTATTCCCTGGATCATAACCAACACAGGATTTGCTCTTCCTAGAATGTCTTTGATCTTCTTCCTTTTATTCTGGCTTCCTAACCCATCAACATTCCAGTAGATTATCTTCATTTATTATTTTCTGTTTCCCTCTTTTTGTTCCCTTCCTGTTGCTTGTTTTCTAGGCCACTTTCCTAATCCTTGATTCCGTAGCTTTTTCCTACATACTTAAATTTTTGGCGGTATTACTAATTTTACTTCCTCTCCACTCTCCCCAATAACTCTGAAATCTAATTTTTCCACGAGAATAGACAGGTCTTCCTGATTATTACCTATCATTACTGGGTTAATAGCAATTTCCTTTGGTTATTCCACTCTCCTTTGGCATATCATGATTCCCCACAACTATAGTTTGTTCAGAAAGGCCTAAAATATCTTAATGAAATGAATTTTATTCAATTTCTTCCCTGAATCACAAAGAAAAACAGTGGGGTTAAAGGTGTAGGATAGGATAGGAGTTTTACCAAGAAATTTTATAAGATTGCCATTAGAGTTTCTCCCCCGTTCATGATTGCCCTTTGAGTACACTGTCAACTGCCTCCTCCATGACACTCATAACTAGGTTCTGCTCTGCCTCCTTATGATGTTCTTTCTTCTCATTGTCATTGAAGAAGAAGTGTAATCCCTCTTATACCTTATTCAAAATTTTGCACACAAACTCTCTCATTATCATAGGGCTAGTTGAGTGTTTCTTCTTCCACCACATCAACCGAGTCAAAAAAAGACCAATCACTTTCTCCATCCTTCTGAGCCCCATTGCTGATGCTAGGATTTTTGCCTCGAAAGGTATTTGCATTTTTTTGTCTCTGATTGCACACAACCTTCAGGTCATTAATATGTTCCTCCACCCACTCCCTTAACTCACTAATATCTGTGTTTGATTGGGTTTTATCTGCATCCTCCACTTCTTCTTTGTCAGGTTCAGAATAGATGCGGAAGATTCTGTTCCCACACAATAATGAATTCCAACTTTCTGGTGCCATCTGTTTGCTGTTGTGAGTCTATCTGTTCCTGCCATTGAGCAACGTCAGCAGCATTCTCCAGATCGTCGGCCTCTGCTGGAGGTGTCGTGGATGAGCTGCTTTTCAGGTCAAGGTTTTTGGGCCTCCATCTCTTTAATGATTTATTTGCAGGGCTCCAGTAATAGGTCTAATTAAATTAAGATTGGGTTAATCTAAGTAGAACTAGGTTGGATTGAGAGCCCAGGCTCCTTAAAGTTGCGCCCTTGTAACTTACACTCAAAGGTTGTTGCTGAGCTGGCTTAACGATCCACTTCACCCAGTGATTTTTCGCTCATTCGTTGTTATGCATAATGCATAATCTTCAATTGCCTTGGTTATCTCTGTAATTCCTCCCTCATCAAATCCGAAAGTTTATAGTGTCATAGCAAATTGTATGGCACTATTTCAGCCCTTTTGAAAATTGAATCCTACATGCCACTAATCCTCCTCTATTATGTGCCATCGAAGACCCTCTGTTCTGTATCCATGTAGTGGGTAGCACTCCTTTGCATATGATTTTCGAGGGAGATTTCCATGGGATGTCCTTTGTGTTTTGTGATGAGAGCTAGCTTGCAGACTATTTGTGCATGAAATTCTCCTTGATTACCTGTCACCACCGTGTATAGTGCTTCGGAGGTTTTCAAGCAACCCATCCCTGAAAATGCCCCAGGGATGCAAATTCTGGAAGACAAGGCCACCCCTTTAAACTACAAGATCTTTATATACCTCCCCTATTCATTTCTATTGAGTGTTATTATCAAGTAACCCTCACCAATCCTGCACAGCGGACTGTATTAAGAGCCCTTCCTCTACTGAAGATACAAGGAAATTTGCAGCCATTCAACTTCTCTCACCAACATGAAGGAGAAACTTGTGTCTATTTCATTGCTCTTGAATTGTCACAGTCCCTGATTCAACATCTCTCCATATTGTGAATACTTTCCTTTCCATCGAAAATACCATCCGTGATCGCACTCGCTTCACCTTCACCCCGGACATCTCACCTAACAAACTTAACTATTTGAGGGAACTTTTTTCAACAGTATAAACAGATTTTTTCGACTCCATTCTAGGATGAGTGCAGGCCTCTCACCCTATCATTTCACCCTTATCATTTCATGATTTGAAAACAATTTAAAAAAATCGTTTGAATAAAATAATATTAAAAAAGTCAGATGAGGGTACGTAGCAGACTTTTTAGTTGTGATTTGGGCCAGAAGGTGTGAATCATTTTTTAGCCCTCTTCCAATAGAAATGTATCTCACAGTCTAGATGTATGAACATAAAGAATTTTTTTGTAAAATCCAAATTCTATAGATGTATGAACATAAAGGATTTCAGTGATACATAAATTTCACATATTTGTCAGTATCTATTGTATACTTCGTGATAGCACCAACTGTGATGGAAAATTTAACTTCCACAATATACAAATTTCAGCCATGACTTAAAAACCATTGCCAGGAGTTTTCTTAACCATATCCCAAGCCCCTTTTCAAAATCTATCCTTATGAAAAACTACTCCTTGTTCTCAGTTTATAATCTACAAACCCTCCAAATCATTTGATATGAAATGGTTATTTACATAACAAGCTGATATTGCACTGTCTAAAATCAAATTGATAACCTAATATTGCTTATTCACTGTCACTTCCCAATTTGATGAGTGCATCATATAGGTTGATCAGCATTTTTTTATAGAAAAGATTTAAGTATTATAGACAAAAGGCACCAAGTGGTGCCACCAATGTAAAAAAGAGAAGACTATTTTCCTTTGGTTTGTTAATATTGATTATCATCATTTGTAGCATAAGCTTCTAAATAACTACTACAATAACTTCTCAAAGTAACAATTAAAATAAATTAAACATGATGGTCCTACCACACCAAGAAAATGTGCAATAAGAACATCCCAATCTTCTTGATGCAGAGATGGCAACAAGTGATCAATGCATCCGTTGTCCACCTGAAAGAAAGATATCCATTAATTTGTCTTTAAATTATTGGAGCTTTCTACAATACCCCCAGTATTTTGAGGTACCGATATAAGTGGGTCATTACAGACTATACATAGTTGCCGAATAATCACATATGGCTATCCTTTACTGCCACATATGCTATATTTTGTTGTCACTCTTTGCTGTCCATGATTGCTACATGTGGGTATCCACAGTTGTTATCATTATATATCCTTTGTTATCGTCTTTGGCTAGTAATGATTGCCACACATGGCTATCCACGATTGACATCATAGGTTATCCTTTGTTACCATCTTTAACTATCTATGATTGTTGCCACTGAGCTATCAATAACCATATGTAGGCAACTACAGATAGACAAAGATGGCAGCAAAGGACAATCAATAATTGCAACTAAGAATAAGGACACATGTGATAATGATAAATAGCCAAAGAAAGGCAATGGATAACAGCCAAATGCGGCAACAAAAACAGCCATAAGTGGCAATTCAGCAACTATGAATGGCTAATGAAGATCCCATATATCATGAGGTACCATTACCTTGACATACTTCGAGCTACAGTAGAAATGCTCTAATTTATTATATAACAGATATTTCAATGGAATTCAAAAAAGCTAAATTCCAATAATATTTTCCTAAACCATACCGTATGAAGATCTTTAACATTGAAAGAGGGGTAAGGATACGACTTTTCAAAATGATGAGGAAACAACTGAATCCATGTATCGTCGCCCATCATCCACACTCGTTTCCCATTTTGAACCAACTGTTAGACATCCCAAAAATGAAATGTAAGAGTCAATCCATACTACTTTTTTTTTGTTAATAAGCAACTCATTATACAAAGTTTATAAAGATGGAACTACAACAGAGAAATATCAAGTTATCTTTATTATCCATATTATCTTTCACTCCTTTGAATGAATGACACCTGTAAGAGCTTGTTTGGCAACTTAAATTGGAATAGTTTATAAACTCTAAATATAAGCTTCACTAACTTAAAACTGCATGGCTTATTTAACAAATAAATTTTGTTGAAAAATCCTTCAATCTCTTGTCTTAATGCTATGAAACAATCAAAAATAAGAGACCGATCATAAATCTCAATTATACCGAGATATGACTTGATTTAGTGTCATTAATTTCCTACTTTTTCTCTTTGTAACAACTATATACACACACACATATGTATGCTCCTTTCAATAGATGAGAAATTTAGTTTCTCTCTAAATTTCATATGCTACCAGAGGCCTGCGCTCTTTTTTCATTCTTGTTATTCTTCCTTTAATAAACAAAAAACAAACAGAGCTCGTATTGGAACTGCTCCAGCACACGCATCCATCTGAGTGCACACTTGCTACCTCTGCGAGTACCTATGCAAGCCAAAGCCAACTCTGATGACTTATCTTTCTCGCTCTTTGTCAGTTTTTTTGCATGTGCCCTTTATTGCCGCACAGTTGATGCCAATCTTCATTGTTTGATCCTTCACTATACTCGAATTCTTTGTCAGCAACCGAAATAACCAGGATCCTTGTTGAACACCTCTACTGTTTGATCCTTGCAAGAGGAGACCTGAAATGCCTCTATGAAGAAGAAGCCAAACAATGGGAAAGATGACATCATCTTTCGACATCATTGGAAAACCTATGAAATTCTCATCAATCAACTAATAGCGGAACTCCAAGTTGGGAAGTATATTTGTATAGTAAGTAGGGCAAATGGTATATTAGTAATATACTCATCCCACGTAGTTAATAGTGTTTTCTTTTTATTGTTTACAAAATCTATATATATAGGGTTCTGTTATTCAATAAAATTCATAACTCATTTTCCACATGATATCAAAACCCTATGTTAAATAAATCCTAAACTCTCCTACAAACTATATTTGGTTTTCATTGCCAAAATATGAAAACTCTAAATGGGGGCAACCTTCATAACTGGCCACCACACTTCAACCACCGGCCACCACAAGATCAGCCATCTCCACCACAAGCTGGCCTTCATAGCTGGCCGTAGCTCCCAAACTGCACGACTAGAAGCAACTAGAGGAGCCACTCAACTACCAGCCACTAG